CTGTTCATCACAGCAGAACCGCCACACAAACGGGCCACATCCATCTAACGCTCGCTGGCATCACATCTTAATGCATTCAGAAGGGCTTTTTTGCTGGAAAACCACGACAGGTTTCATTTGCAGGCACAGAAAAACAAACAGTTTAATGAAGCTTCTGGAATAATTCTACAGAAAACCATGACAGATTACCGTCATCGATCAAACACTCACCGTACAGCATGAGCTCCAGCTTCTTCCGGTCGATCCGGAATCTCTCCTCCACACACTCTGGGTCTGAGGGTTTCTGGTCCTGAGGTTCAGATCCTTCATCTTCCTCATCCTCCTCCTCCTCCTTGTTCTGGTTTTGCAGGATCTGGACCTGCTCCCGGTTCTGGTCCAGCTGTGGTCTGTTGCAGGACTCTGGTTCAGGAGACTCAGAAATGGAGCTGCACGTCTCTGAGGTCGCCATAGTGAGAGTATGTGTGTGTGTCCGTAAGTGTGACCAAGGAAACAAGAAAAAGAGGGGCCCTGAGACACACACACACACACACACACACACACACACCTCAGAACAGAGTAATACAGCACATCACACCCCTCTCAGATCACATGACCACAGAACAATCTCAATGAGACACAGCTGAGAACTTTTGTATCACTGTTGTTTCTCTTAAAATAAAAGAGGCTCAAATGAGTCACCACCCAGCTAACAGAGAACTTTCTCTCAAAGTTCTGAACGGCAACGTTAATAGAATGTTTGCTCAGCGTTATCTGGTCTTTATTAATGTCAGCATAAAAACATACAGGGTTCATGGAAGGTTTTTTTTTTTTTAGGTCGCCATAGTGAGAGTATGTGTGTGTGACCAAGGAAACAAGAAAAAGAGGGGCCCAGACACACACACACCTCAAAACAGAGCAATATAGCACATCACACCCCTCTAACAGATCACATGACCAGAGGACAATCTCAATGAGACACAGCTGAGAACTCCCGTAGTGTCACTGTTGTTTCTCCTCGTTGTTAGAGGAGAGTCTTTTTCCTCAGGAGAAATATCTGAGAAGTAGGAAACTTCAAGAAAAGCCAGCATTTAATGACACTGATGTGTAGATGAGACATTATAGACAACATTGTTTTTGTTGGGAAACATTCTTTTAGAACATAAGTTCTCTATTGGACTATCATGATTATCAGTATGATCCCCATACGAGAAACAGAGGTTTAGAAGACGTTCAAACAACAAAAACCAAGAAGCATCAAACTTTCAGGAGGATCATTTCTGATTCTTACAGAATTTATTTTATTATCCCAGATGGATTGTTTCCAAATAACAAATAATTCCAATAGGAATGGTGTAAACAAACTGCAGGAATGTGTTCTTTATTCATTCCCGTAAGTGCTGTGGCCTTCATAAAGCCTGTCTCCTCCTCCCTCTGGAGAAGAGCGTTTCAGACTCCTGGTTCAGGGGGAGGGGAGTGTTTTGGGGAAACAGGACTGGCTGAGACCCTCCGTTAACAACCACCACCAGCACGAGGCAGGGGCCTGTTGTCTAGCAACACGTTTGTTTACGGACAAGCAGGAAGATAAAAAAACGAAAGTCATGAACTAAAGAACACTGTAAATAAATGTTCTTCATCAAAACAGATTTGGAGAAATGTAGCATTACATCACTTGCGCACCAGTGGATCATCTGCAGTGAATGGGTGCCGTCAGAATCAGAGTCCAAACAGCTGATAAAAACATCACAATAATCCACAAGTAATCCACACGACTCCAGTCCATCAGTTAATGTCTTGTGAACCACAAAACTGTGTGTTTGTAAGAAATAACACAGCTTTTCAGTTCACACACGGAAAAAAATGTTTCATCCAATTAAAAAAATGTAGGGTAATGATTCACATCTATATTTTTTAACATGAACCAATGAAAAATAAATGTTTTGCCTTTAGGGCAAGCTATTTATTTTTTTTATTGGCTCGATTAAAAAAATATAGACGTGAATCATTACCCTAAATTTTTTTAATTGGATGAATGAAAAAAAAATTTCAGTGCAGGACACGGCTGTTTGGACTTTCATTCTGACGGCACCCATTCACTGCAGAGGATGCACTAGTGAACAAGTGATGTAATGCTACATTTCTCCAAATCTGATGAAGAAACAAACTCGTCTCCATCTTTGATGGCTTGAGGGTGAGTAAGTTTTCATTTTTGGTTGAACAATTTCTTACTTTTTTAATGAGCTCAAATGACTCATACAGCTAATTTGGTTATGGAAATTAAAGGCAGCAACTAAACTTGAGTTTTAAGTTGAATAAGGCGAATGAGACAAGGAAAAAAAAGTTTATTTTTGTGGTTCTACAAACTTCCAATAAAACATTTAATGTTGCTTACCATCTGTTTTCCTGCGTGTCCTTCAAACTTCTGCTCAGTTCCACTCGATCTCTCTTCTGCTCAACAATCAAAATCACATAAGAGCTACATAACCTTCAAACTTCATGAACTTTTTTAAAGGCTGTCACACCTCCGTTCAGTAGTTGCCTTGACAAACCCTTTCTTGTCTAGTTTATATATATTAATGTTTGTGTGATGCTTTACTGATGCTCCAAAGAATAAATAAAGGTTTGACATTTAGTCTCAGGTGAACATCAGTGTGGATCATGCATGATGGAATGATTTGATAAAGCTTACTCTCCTATATGTGTAAACGAGGACCAAGATGTCCGGTGTAAAGGTATAACGGAAGTACAGAAACACTGCTTTGCTGGAAAGCGGAAGTTAGCTGATGTCGCTGTGAAAAGGGTCTATTAAGCAAACGCAGTCAAAAAGAAAGAAAATCGATTTTATTACGTTATCTGCCGCTTAAATTCCCCGCTTTTTAAATTCTCGTGGTTTCTGATTGACTGTCGATGCTTTTATCGTTTATCCGCTGGTTAAGAATCGTTCTTGTGAACAGTTGTGGTGTGAACTTCACTACTGTCATAGAATTAGAGCAATTCTTAAACTTTACAGTTATCATTATAATTATGTCTTTGGTGTAAACGGGTTTTAAACCGGTTTTCCACCAGATCATCAACTCCTAATATTAAACCAGGGGTGCCCAAACTCGGTCCTGAGGGCCGGTGTCCTGCAGAGTTTAGCTCCAACCCTAATCAAACACACCTGAAGCTAATCAAGCTCTTACTTTGCATACTAGAAACGTCCAGGCAGGTGTGTTGAGGCAAGCTGGAGCTAAACTCTGCAGGACACCGGCCCTCCAGGACCGAGTTTGGGCACCCCTGTATTAAACTCTTCTGCTGCCACCGTGTGGTTGAACACATGGACTAACTTACATTTTTATACCTCACTAATGTGTCATGAAATGTATTTTAAAAACCAACTAATAAAGTCCTTGACTGTAACTAATGGTTTCAAGAGGTCCGCCAGAGAAACTCACATTAATAATCTAAAACTCTCTGGAGCTTTTCAAGCCAAAACACAATGTAAATGCATTTAACCACTGATCTATATATACAATATTATGTTCTCGATTATAGAGAAGTGATTTAAACTCATAAAAAACACTTAGGAGATGAGGAGATGTGTAACCATAGCAACAACAATCAAAGAATTACACGCACAGATCTCCAGCAGCATAAGTAACAGCGAGGTTTATTTTGCTCTAATCTTCATGCGTTTGACCAGGACAGATTTCAGTCAAAGAAGAAAACATGAGAATTGATTTCTGAATCACGTAGTGAGAGACGCTTCGATCTGCGCAGATATATTCATATTACCATATCAATAATCCATAGAAACTGTTAATACCATGGTTTTTGGGCACTACAATATAAACCCTGTAGTAATAAAAGTGGTTTTCCAAAGGTCACATGAGTGATTTTTTTCATCATCTGCCCAATATTCAATTCCTTAATGTATAATGAATTTTACACAAATGACAGGTGACCTTTATGAAACAAAATGATAAATAAATAAAATGAAAATGACAGGAACAGTAAAGGAAAACGCAGTTATGAGAGCCAGTAGTTTGATTTCACTGACATCAAACCTGATTTGAAGGGAACAATCTAAACATTGTGTTCCACAACAAAATATAATTTTAGATTTTGGGTGAACTATTGGTTTAATAACACATTTACCTTTTAATAAAATCACCAGTTTTGTGTTTCAACCACAATGAGAAAATAAAACAAATAACATGACATAACAGGCTGTTCTCACACACACAGGTTTGTTTTTGTGAAAAGTAGGCATCCCATAGGCGTAATGGTTTTTATACTGTACAGACTGTATATTCTATTGCCCTACACCAACCCTACCCCTAAACCTACCCCTTACAGGAGACTTTGTGCTATTTCAGATTTTCAATACACTCCATTCTGTGTGATTTATAAGCGTTTTGAAAAGTGGGGACATGGGGTAATGTCCTGAAAAGTCACCTTCTCCTTGTAATACCTATGTTATACCTTTGTCATTATACAAATTTATATCCTCATTTGTCACAAAAACGCGCGCGAGCGCACACACACACACACACTCTTAAATGGCACTTTAAACTCTAAATTCATGTTATAAGAGTTGCACTACAGTAGAAATTTATTATTTTGCTCTAATATTTAACCATGTATGATTTAGCTAATGAGATGCAACTTTAAATGGATAATTCACCCAAAAACAATGATTAGCTCACACTCATGTAATTCTATGAAGTTCTTCTGTGAAACACAAAAGAAGATATTTCATACAAATGAACATGAATAAAATTACGACAACTCACTGAAATTTCAATCTGTTTGTCACTCAGAGCATCACATGATTTCTGAAGAGATGGAACAGAAGAGAGAAAGTCCTCTGTTTGAAGCGACATGAAGGCGAGTAAATCGACTCCTGTAAACGTCCACGTTAGAAAATGTAAAACTGCCCCGAACACAAAAACAACAACAACAGAGAACTAGAGAAAAATGTAAAAACAAAAAGTAAAACAAAAATGTCCATATTAGACGTCACAGGTCGTTGGCAAACAACAACAGAGAACTAGAGAAAAATGTAAAAAAAAGTAAAACAAAAATGTCCATATTAGACGTCACAGGTCGTTGGCATAATTTTTGACTTCATAAAATCAAATCTGCATCAAATTTGTGGAGTTAAAAAAAAAACTATATAAGTTTCAGCGTCTTTGTTTCTGCAGCAATATGTTTGAGGATCTTCATATTAGTTCAGCACAGTCTGATCCAGTGTCAATAACAGGACAGATAAAAGTCAGTTCATAAATACTGGACTTTAAATAATTACAAAATTACTATCAGCACGTTTTAAAAGTACTAAGTCAGTTCTTTACATTTGTTTTTAGTTCAAACTCATCTAGGTAAAAACAAGCTCCAGTCAGAGGTGGTTTGTTCCTCCTGTACGTCCATCGGTGGACTCTGAGAGTCTTATGGCACTCCAGACGTTTGTGCTGTTGACCAAACGAGAGCCTCTGTTACCGGATGTTGAGCAGATCCTCTCTGAGCCAGCCGGGCAGAACCTGACCCATTTTATACAGCAGTTTAGAGAGCTGGATGTTACCATCTCTGTAGTATTTCCTCAAAAACACCTGAGACTGATGAAGAGACAGACTGTGAACGTGCATTTCCTCTACCTTGTATTTTTTTTTACAATAAACTCAATAAAGAGTGAAAAGAGTTACTTGTTTGTCCGGGTATCTCGGTCCTTTACTCTTCCCTAAACACTTGGTCTTTCCTCCGTCCAGCAGTTGACACCAGAAGCCTTTCTTTGGGTCAAACCTGCAAAACATAATGTGGAAAAAGTGTAGAAAGGAGATCAAAACATCCCGCACGATGCTGTAGCTTGCAAAAATTCCTGATATTTGTAATGAAAGGTTCTAGATGCTGACAGAGGGCAATTATTAGTTTGCATGTCACTACTAAATCTAGATTGCTTTTGAAAGAACTCTCTTCTGCTCATCAAAGCTGCATTTATTTGATCGAAAATGCAGTAAAAACAGTAATATATTATTACCATTTAATATAGCCATTTTCAATTTGAATATGTTTTAAAATGTAATTTATTCCTGTGATACAAAGCTGAATTTTTAGCAGTCACACTCTAGTCTTCAGTGTCACATGATCCTTCAGAAATCATTCTAATATGCTGATTCGCTGCTCAAGAAACATTATTAATGAGGCATTAAACTTCTTTTGAATTTTCTATTCATCAAAGAATCATGAAAAATATAATGCATCACTGTTTCCACAAAAATATGAAGCAGCACAACTGTGTTCAACACTGATAATAATCAGAAATGTTTATTGAGCAGCAAATCAGTATATTAGAATGATTTCTGAAGGATCATGCGACACTGAAGACTGGAGTAATGATGCTGAAAATTCTACTTTGATCAGAGGAATAAATTACATTTTATAATGTATTTGCATAGAAAAACAGGTAAATTACTTGTATAATATTATTTCACAATATTACTGCTTTTACTACACGTTTGATCAAATAAATGCAGTCTTGCCTTGGTGAGCAGACGAAACTTGTTTCTAAAACATTAAATCTTTATTATTCCAAACTCTTGACCTGAGGTGTATTAATGGAAGGATAACATCAATTATTTTACCTAAATGTTTTATTAAAAATCTATAATTACCTTATTATTTTGATAAGTCAATTACTACAAAATAAAGTGTAAATATTAATGCACTTTTGGTAGTGCTAAAGTTTTTAGTCAGGACTATATTCAAAATATAACAGAAACCGTTTTATTTTCCCACACTCAAAAAGTTTGTTTTTGCTGCTTGTTCAATTTCTTTTGTTAAAATGAGCTGAATTGTCACAACATAATTCCATTATATTCAATCCACTTACATTTGTAAAATGGAATGTAACCTAATCATTTTGTGTCTGGACTACATGAATATGTTTTTAACTTATCTTCCGTTTTAACTGTAAATGAACTTGTTCTAGTTTTGATGTACGGACCTAAACTAACCTTGATTTGAGTTCACTGAACAAGCATTTTTGAGGGTATTTAATTGAAACGATTTATGCCTGAAGAACGCATGAGACTGAATCGTCACAGTTAAAACATACGTATATGAATTTGTGTGTTGATGCTCAAACTCACGCTAGTGTCTTGTGGTAATCAACTTGATTCTCCAAACCCAGAAACGTCTGGATCTTCTCCATGACTGATGCTGGATCTGTTTTCAATGTCTGGCCGTCCACAACCAGAATCTGTGAGGGTTTAATGCAAGAAATATGATGAATTAGTCTGCTGAATTAGAACATACGATCTTGCATGCTGCTAAACACACGCACCTGGTCGTGGTGGTAGTGTTCGAGCCAGCGCGAGAGGTGTGTGGCGTACCATCCTGGAGCCAGACAACGCTTCTGCAGAACCTGCAGCTTCACAGGTGCATTGTGGGATGCCGTAATGACATCATGGAAAGAGTATTTCAGAGCCGCGGGATCAGCATGTGCTCTCTGATGCTGCAGACAAAAAATAAATTAAATGTTAACATTAACATTAAAAATAAATGAATAATTTTGATGTTCAGTACACATGTCTATATTGATATATTTAACTGGATATGACTTCAAAGAAAAGAGAAACATGATTTCAACCAAACAATCACCGTAGATTCAGAAAGAGAAAAAAAAGTTGAAAAGAATTAAGACATGTTTTAAAAAATGAACTCGAGGAAGAATGATATTTAATCATTTTATTGATATAGACCAATGCAACAAATATTAATACTCTATATTATTTATCTACTTATATAACAGACAAGTTTTTTTTATAAATAAAAATACAATACAATAAAAACTATTTTTATTTATTATTATTTCTACTATTATTTTAATAAAATGTTTTCATTCATTATTTTACATTTTAAATAATTAATTAATTATATTCTTAGTCTACATTGATGATTAATTTTTCATTTTCAAGTTCAAACCACATTTAGCATAGAAATGTAGATAAAATACTATGATAATCATAGAACAACTATATTATCATGAGTTTAAGTGTTTTCATGGTTAAATAAAAATATTAATAGTACTACTCAAATACAACACAAAAACATTAAATTTTCATAAAATATATTTTAATTGTGAATACTGCAGTTTTACTGCAAACACCACTGTTAAATGGATGATTACTGTACTCAATTATTTTGTAAAGCGTGCAGTTTCACAGCTTTCTTTACAAAGTCTTTTCCCCTTGGTTGCACCTCCATAAAACGTGTGTTTGCTTTAATGCTTCGTTAAAGAAAAAAGAAAGTTAGTCACACGTGAATGGAGCAGATGTACCTGGTACCAGGCAAAGGCTCGCTCCACGGGGTCGCTCAGGACCGTGATGATTCTCGCTCTGGGTAGCAGCGCTGCAGCTCTGACTGCAGCTACATCCGAATCAAAATAGCTGGCACTTTTCTCAAAATAATAATCAGAGCTGCTGTTGGATGGGAGGGGGAAATACTCCATATACCTGCAGGAGAGATAGAGAAAACAGAGGAATAAATAGAAAGGAGCAGTGTTACGATGTTTGCAGCTCCGCTGACCCTCACCAGTCGATGCCCCGGTGATAACTGTGACCGCTGAAGAACTGAATCTCCTCAAACGTCTCTTTACTGGGGTAATTACTGCTCAGATCAGGATGCATCCCCAGAAACAGATAGAGCGCTGTCGCTCCTGAGAAAAACCACCAGAGAAACATGGAGAAAATGAAACATCTGACTTTTATAGATTTTGTAACTATTTTGAATTAGATTATTTGTTTAGTATTTTATTTTTATATTTCCTGTTAAAAAAATCTCAGTAATTTTGTTGTGCGTGTTGTGTGTTTGTTATTTTAATTAAATATTTTAAATATGTCTATATACTTTTTATTAAGTTACAGTTATTCTAGTACTTTACATTTTTTATTTTAGTATTTCTAAAATTAAATGCTAAACTAAATGAAAATTCTAAATGTTGCCTTGGCAACTAGATGAAACAAAATAAGTTTAAAGGGGGTCATATGATGCGATTTCAAGTTTTCCTTTCTCTTTGGAGTGTTACAAGCTCTTGGTGCATAAAGAAGATCTGTAAAGTTGCAAAGACTAAAGTCTCAAATCCAAAGAGATATTCTTTATAAAAGTTAAGAGGCAGCCACGCCCCCCTAAAACAGCTCGTTCTAACACGCCCCCACATACCTACCTCACGATGTGGGAAGATTTGCATAACGCCGCCCAAATGTTCACGCAAAGAAAGAAGGCGTAACTTTTATTCTCGCTGTAGTATTGTTGCCGCTGCCGCCATGTCGTAAAGGCGCTGTGTGTTTTGTGAAAGCGAAACTTTGTTTGGTCTTCCAAAAGAGGATGATATCCGCTTCGTCATGCCTAGAGCTGATTCGTGCCGGTCGCTGAGGAAATACATCAACTTTACGCTGTGGATCGCCGAATCGGCTTTCACCGTGGACGAAGCGGAGGCTAGCCCGGGGTCGTCACATGTGGTTGCCGTTCCTTCGTCGAATCCGCCGGGCGCGCCGTTCTCCACCCCGCCGCTTCTGCTCACTCTAACCCGGCCTCAGCTCACGCTCACGCTAGGCTGCCGTGTTTTTCGTTGTGAAAGCGAAACTACTTTGTTTGGTCTTCCAAAAGAGGACACGACTACAAATCATTGGTTAAGTTGTATTTACAACACTGTTCCAGAACACTTCAACCCAAATATTCAGATGTGTGCAGCACATTTTATGGAGGACTGTTTCCTGATCCTGGTAGAGTAGACTACAATGCTGGCTGTTCTGACTCACGTAAGTACGTTTCCATTTAAAGGATTTGCCACTGATGATTCAAACGCGAGTTTTGAGCAGTGTAAAGTAGCGCTTGTTGTTTGTCATTTCTCTGATCACAAATGCAGACAGGGTTTTATGTTTATGCGGCGCGATGCAACGCAACGCATAAAAAGACAGTATAAGTCATTATAATCAGTAATTATGTCCCCACTGGATGCAACAAATGCCTCGTTTATAATGGGTTTTAATGTTTTTGTCTCGTCGCTCCGGGACACGGCATCACAGACATTTCCGTCACACGCTTGAGGTATTCGGCCAATCACAACGCACTGGATAGCTGGCCAATCACAGCACACCTCACTTTTCAGACCGATGAGCTTTGTAAAAATCTACTCGTTTCAGAAAGGCGGGGCATAGAGGAGAAACAATAATGTACAGTATGTGGAAAATAATGTGTGTTTTTTTTTTTACTTTAAACCGCATAAACCCATTTCATTACACCAAATAATGTTATTTTTAGCAGCATCATATGACCCCTTTAAATAAGAATACCTGTATAACAATAAATAGTTTTAATAAAGCAAGTAGTATATACTTTATTTTTGTTAATGTTTATTTCAATCAATGAAGATGTGATATGGTTTAATTTTTTTTTAAACATTTAAAAATCTATTTCATAACAGTAACAAATGAATGTGTAATCTCAATGAATCTTTCTGTAATTCCATCTAATGAAATTGGTCATCATTAGATTCCAACAAATATTGCAATTAATACTGGAAAACTTGTTACATTTTTCAACTGCACACCCTCAAAACCATCTACTGCCTTGACTATTATATATATATTATATTTAAATATATATATATATATATATATATATATATATATATATATATATATATATAAAACACCTTATTATAACACTTTTAAATAGTTAATTTAATTGTTTTTTTCTTGTCATTACTTGTTTGGTGTACGCTTTGACAATATTTTAAAACACAATCATGCCAATAAAGTAGTTTAAATAGACACAACAAACACTGTACGCTTCTAACAGTGTAAAGAGTGTGTGCTGTACTGCGTGCGTCTGTCAGGTGGCGCTGTCGCTCCTCACCCGTCTTCTGAGGCCCAATGAGCAGCAGTTTTGGGAAACGGTCGCAGGTTTTCTCTTTCGACCAAATGTCCTTGTGTCTTTTATCCTCACAGGGGTCCTAAACACAAGATCACACCGTTGAGAGATTTCACTGAGACGGAGAGAAAGTGTTGCGCAGATTGAGAGATTTTGGTCCTCTACAGTCAACTTTCTGTTGTTTTAAATCACACTTGGACAAAACTGCCGTCATCACAGACCTGCCAGAGTGGCTCGGTGTCCGATGGAAACCGCTGGAAGTATTTGTCGGCGAGCTGCAGCGGAGGAAGCGTCTGTAGTTTCAGGTGAGTCCAGGTGAGCAGGAAGTTGAGCAGCCGTTTGAAGGTGAACAAACCCAGACGGTCGTTCCCGTAGTTGGACAGGTGTGTCATGAAGATGCTAATCTGAGAAACAACCACACTTTCAGCCAATCAAAGCCATTTCACTTGAAATACAATTCAGGACTGTATTCAACAATTCGACTGCAAATTCAGATTTCATCGATTTGTTTGACATTGAAATGTTTATAGTGCCCAGTATATATATATACACAGTGGGTACGGAAAGTATTCAGACCCCCTTCAATTTTTCACTCTTTGTTATATTGCAGCCATTTGCTAAAATCATTTAAGTAATTTTTTTTTCCTCAATGTACACACAGCACCCCATATTGACAGAAAAACACAGAATTGTTGACATTTTTGCAGATTTATTAAAAAAGAAAAACTTAAATATCACATGGTCCTAAGTATTCAGACCCTTTGCCCTGACACTCATATATTTAACTCCGGTGCTGTCCATTTCTTCTGATCATCCTTGAGATGGTTCTACACCTTCATTTGAGTCCAGCTGTGTTTGATTATACTGATTGGACTTGATTAGGAAAGCCCCACACCTGTCTATATAAGACCCATATATTAAAAATGGTTTAGCAAAAGTACAAATAGGTAAATGATTACAACAACAACAAGTTTAAATAAAACGTGTTTCTTTAAGCAGTATTTCTGGCTAGATATAAATATAATTAAGCCTGAAACAATTATTTTGCAATTGTTTTATATTTACAATTTCATAATTACTTAATATTTTATAAATATTAAATAATGATGACAAATACAAAATATAAATTAACCATTAAAATAGTTATTTTTATAATTGCATATTGATTTAAGTTATTTTATAATTATTTATTAATTCAAAGTAAATATTATATTATATATATTTTTCATAATTCTAAAATAATTACATATAAATTATAAAATAATTATAATTATAAAATAGCCCTGAAAAACCAATCATTTTTTTCCTTCAAATGTTTTGCAGATCATTTGTCTTATCTGCTTAAATATGAATGAATTATTCACTCATTGTACTTTGATGAAAATACAAGTAAATAATGTTGATTATTAATATTGGTTTCATTGGTCTATATCAATAAAATGATTAAATATCATTCTTCCTTGAGTTCATTTATTAAAAACATGTCTTGATTACAACATCAACATTTTTCAAAACTTGTTTGTTTGTCAGTGGCCAGTTATGAATAATAATAAAGTGTGAAACAATTACATCCTTATTATTTTATATTGAATATTATTTCATAATTATTTTATATGTAATAATTATTTTATATTTTAGATCATTTCATAATTAATAAATGTTATAATTATATAAATATTAAAACAATACTTTTTATAATTGCAAAATGATTTCAGTTATTTTTTATCATTCATAATTATTTATTTATAATTATTTCATATTATTTACAGACCAATGAAACAAGCATTAATAAGACACAGTATTTACCTACTTGTATTTTCATGAAGGTTGGAGGAAAAATATTGTTCTTTCTGGATTTCAACATGTCTTTTCATTTATTAACTAAATTTGTACTGTATTTTACTTTTATGAATCTAGAATATGAATCTATTAGCCTACCCTACGCTGACGTCTCTCTTATTGGAAAAAAAACAAACTTTTAAATAATATCAGGTCAAATATACACATATTAAGATATTTACAGAATCTCATCAAACGGCTGAAAAATATTAACCTATTTTTGATAGCTATATCTCCCAGTCCTACTGACAGTAAGATCCTAAGCACAGCATAAGTTGATGTAAAGAGGGACTGACGGGGTTGAGCAGGACGGTGAGGAACAGCTCCCCTCCGTCAATGATCCGCTCCAGCTCCTGCGGCCCGCCGGGATAGTCCTTATGAAAGATGGTGTGAGTGAACAGACCACACGTCTGCCTCGGCAAAACCTGAGCAATACACACACACACGATCAGTTCTCCATTCACACTGCCTGACACACACACACACTTCTCATGGGCTCCAGGACAGTGCCCGTCTCTCTGGAATTAAATAGACGTGAGCTAATGTAATATTCATAACATCTCACACTGAACTCAGGAGCTCAAACTCATTAGAGAATCGATGAAAGAGAGTGAGCGGAATATTAATCTGCTCCTGAAATGAAGGATAACTCAAACAGGGAATGAGACGGAGGGACAGGTTTCACTCTCAGTTCAGGGGCTGTGTTGTTAAGTGTTGGTGTGCGCATGACATGAACAGCTTTGACTGACTGTTACGAGGCGAGTAGCTGTACTTACAGCGTTTCGAGTGCTGATTTTAAAGCTCTGGCAAATGATAGGGAAGAGACTGAAAGTTATTGATTTCCATTGGAGAGTTCCACGGGAGCTGCGTATATATATATAATATTTGAATCAAAACTGTGTGAGGTGACTATGATTCAATAAAATGTATTGCTTTAAGCAGTATTTCTGTAGAATGGCTGGTTATGAAGTGGGAAGCAATTATTTTTAATTATTTTATAATTTTAATATTCTTCCATAATTATTTTATAGTTAATTTATATTTTATAATTACTGCATAATTATTTCAGCATTAAGCAATTATTAAATAATTCTAAATTATGAAATATTATGAAATATAAAACAACTATACATTTAATATTATATCATTACTTTAACGTAATTATGACATAATATTAAATGTCATTTTGTATTATATAATTTTGTCAATTATTTCGATGAAACAATTATTTAAAAAAATTATAATTTCATTACGTTATTTTATGATTACAAAATTACTATTTGTACTTATAAGCACTGGAAAACCCGGTAATTATTTTAGATTTAATATTTCATAACTATTTTACAATTATTTTATATTATTTAATAACTATTTTAATAGTTAATTTTTATTTTATATTTTAAAAAATAGAAATTACATAATTTTAGCTATTTCATTATTTTATAATTATTTATTTTTTTATATATAATAATTATTAAACATATGTAATAATGTTTACTAAAATCCTTAAAAATTGTGACCCTGGACCACAAAACCAGTCATAAGGGTAAATTTTTTGAAATTGTAATCATCCATTACACATCATCTGTAATAAATAAGCTTTCCATTGGTGTATGGTTTGTTAGGATAGGACCATATTTGGTCGAGATACAACTATTTGAAAATCTGGAATCTGAGGATGCAAAAAAATCTAAATATTGAGAAAATCGTATTTTAAAGTTGTTCAAATGAAGTTCTTAGCAATGCATATTACTAATCAAAATTTAAGTTTTAATATATTTACAGTAGGGAATTTACAAAATATCTTCATGGAACATGATCTTTACTTAATATCCTAATGATTTTTGGCATAAAAGAGAAATCAATCATTTTGACCCATACAATGTATTTTTGGCTATTGCTACAAATATACCCCAGCGACTTAAGACTGCTTTTGTGCTCCAGGGTCACAATTATTAAATATAAAATAATGATACAATTATTTCATAATTATTTTACAAATTACAAAATAATTATTTACATTGACGAGCACTTATTTAAACCATCATATTTTTCCTTTAAATGTTTTGCAGGTCATTTGTCCTGTGTGGATAAATATTCACTGATTAGTGAATAAGCGGAGGGTAAATGCTCTTGCTGTTGCACTTCATGACCGATTTAAGAGATCATTAACGGATAAAATGGGACTGTTTATGCAGTGAAAAAGTGGCTTAAGGTACAGTGGCATTTTAAAACCTATTCAACCTCTGACACACATTTACATATGAAAGAGCATAATGAGTGTTTATATAATTAATGGAGTTTTCATGCATATTCTGTTCGATTCTCTCACTCAATTTTTTATTCAAAAACATTATGAATGGAACCGAATCACAGACCCTCAAGCGGACACTTTAGTGTGGTTCCTCTAGAAAACTTTCAACAGCTTTCAGACCTCACTCACTCACTCACTCACTCACTCACTCACTCACTCACTCACTCACTCACTCACTCACTCACTCACTCACTCACTCACTCACTCACTCACTCACTCACTCACTCACTCACTCACTCACTCACTCACTCACTCACTCACTCACTCACTCACTCACTCACTCACTCACTCACTCACTCACTCACTCACTCACTCACTCACTCACTCACTCACTCACTCACTCACTCACTCACTCACTCACTCACTCACTCACTCACTCACTCACTCACTCACTCTGATGCCACGGTGAATGAATCCGCGTCTGAATCGAGCGGGTTTGAGGTGTGGATACTCCTCAGTGCTGGTCACTCTGATGTCCCACACGCGCTTCCAGGCCTCGTACAGCTGGATGTGGACGGGATACACGCCAGAGTGATGAGGAGCCACCGCATAACCCTGATGAGTCGGGATGGACTGATCCTACAAGACAAACACCCGATGAAACATCACTCCAGACCTCACTCTCTCTCTGTCTGTGTGTGTGTGTGCGCAATGAGGACATAAATTTATATAAATGACAAAGGTATGACATAGGTATTACAAGGAGAAGGTGACTTTTCAGGACATTACCCCATGTCCCCACTTTTCAAAATGCTTATAAATCACACAGAATGGAGTGTATTGAAAATCTGAAATAGCACAAAGTTTCCTGTGAGGGGTAGGTTTAGGGGTAGGGTTGGTGTAGAGCAATAAAATACATGGTCTGTACAGTATAAAAACCATTACGCCTTTGGGATGTCCCCACTTTTCACAAAAACAAACCTGTGTGTGTGTGTGTGTGCGTGCGTGCGTGCGTCTGTCTGACCTCAGCGAAGCGTCGGTTCAACATCATCTGCTCTGCTAACACACTCTGGTTATGGAAGCGGTGCGGCTGCATGTGACTCCACATGTGAGGAAACCACCAGAACTCCTCAACATATGATAGCAGCAGATCATCACCCCGATCCTCCTCATCAGTACCTGACACATTTATTCAAATATATAACAATTAAAAAAAAAAAAATTATTTTTCTTTCTTTAAATTTTTAATTCAGTGATTTTAACTTTTAATTTAGTTATTTTAATGCTTTAAAAAGCCATTTTAGATTGTAATGTTCTGCTATCTGTTCTGCAAACTATAAAAGGTACAGCTGTCATAAAACCAGAGAGAAAGGCTGCATGGCTAGTAACTGTAAAAATAAAATAAAATAAAAAGTCAAATAATAGTATGCGAGACCGTGGTAATATCATTATGTTGCTATTGGTCAGTAGAGGAACTCCGCATAAGTTGCCACAGTTACTAGCTTGATCTAGGCCTATGTTAAATTTGCTTTATGGAACCAAATCATTTGACAATGAGTCAGACTAACTGAAATAAGCCTGGCTTATTTGGTAAACTTGTTTTATGAAACAGGCCTCGAGGCATTAGAAGTGATCATATTTTGTCCATTGCATTATATTGCATCGAATCGCATTGTGCTGAATCGAATCGAAATTGGATCTCACTGCATCGTAATAGGGGTGAATCGTATCGCATCACATCGGTAGCTGCTTCATTATATGTATCTTTAATGTATCGTAGGCTATGCATCGAGATGCATATCGTATCGGCCTCAGTCATGGAGATGCACATCCCATATACACACACACACACACACATATACATATATATTCCAACCTGACAGAACTGGAGAGGATCTGCAAGGAGGAATGGCAGAGGATCCCCAAATCCAGGTGTGAAAAACTTGTTGCATCTTTCCCAAAAAGACTCATGGCTGTATTAGATCAAAAGGGTGCTTCTACTAAATACTGAGCAAAGGGTCTGAATACTTAGGACCATGTGATATTTCAGTTTTTCTTTTTTAATAAATCTGCAAAAATGTCAACAATTCTGTGTTTTTCTGTCAATATGGGGTGCTGTGTGTACATTGAGGAAAAAAAAATAACTTAAATGATTTTAGCAAATGGCTGCAATATAATAAAGAGTGAAAAATTTAAGGGGGTCTGAATACTTTCCGTACCCACTGTATATGTTAAATTATACAGTTTTTATTTTTATTTTACACACACAATTATATACATTTTAAATTATAAATGTATAGATATAAATCATGTATGAATGTATAAAAAGGTATAAATACATTATTTAATATGTTATATAATTAAGTGTGTGTGTGTCTATAAATTAGGGAATGTATTGGTATTAATTTTGAAATGTATACATTCATTTTATTTTAAATAAATATTTATATATCAATATTTAAATCCATAATTAATGTATACATTTCAAAATTAATACCAATACATTCCCATTACTATAATACAGACACTCATCAAATCAACACTCCTCAAAAGCTGATCTTGTGTGGTTTTCACTCACCTGCGTGGAAGAACTTCCCCGAGAAGCCCAGGTTAAAGGTGAAATCTGGAATCGATCTGCGCAGCTCATTCTGAGTTTCAACCAACGCCTGAGAAGATCCACACATTATTCATGATATTCACACATCTGATGTCTCCAAATGTAGACATCAGAAAGTGTCTGTGAAGGAATGTTTGTTAGATTCCTCTCACTTCTGAAGATAAACCACAGAAAACACACACACTCAAAGTTGAATCCATCATTTCATCAGATGTGTCTGACATCTCATCTCTCAGTCTAAAGTCTATTTTTTATTTCCTGTGGTTTGCGTTCATCATCAGATGTTTGTTTGCATGATTCAAATGACTATTTACACTGAGCTTCATCACACTCCTCTACACACATCAAACACACTCACAACTACAAACAGCATGTTTATGTGGCAAATGAATAAAACCATTTCATTAAACTCTTCTTTCCTGCAGTGAACAAACACTCAATCAGACTTACACAAAAGTTTGTTTTACTATCTTAGTGAGGACCAGTGTTGGTGGTAATATATTACAAGTAACGCAAGTTACGTAATCAGATTACTTTTTTCAAGTAACTAGTAAAGTAACGCTTACATTGAATTGCATTGTCTTCCACTGATTTTAAAATCAAGTTAATGATGTTAATCTTGTATTGTGGCATTATTTTCATGGTAAATCCGTCACTGATTCTCATTACTGTTGCATACAAAAGTAAATAAATTAAATAATAATTTTGTCGTCTTCTATAAAATAATTTCTTATTTATAACTTTAATGTCAAATAAATTATTACATATATACAGTATATATTGTTAATGTTTAAAAAACATTAAATATTTTACTTGTTTTCCTCCATGTCATGTGACCATTGACCGACATCAGAGAACTGTGAACATGCAAATGTTTTGTTAAATTATTTTGACATTTTAACTTAAAATCTCTGGGGGGATTTCAAGAAAACCTCACTCAAAGGTTTTCAGCTGTCAAAGTTCGGGACAGTAAACTTCAAACAGCGAAAACGACTAATAATTTTCAGTGATGATTCTCATTAGGTTCCAATTACTGTAATAATGAGTGTAAAATACCTGGACGTATCACAGTCATGAGAATTTGGAGGGTAAATGTGTTCAACTGTCATCAAATATGCTTAATTTTCTTTATACAAAGTATAATTTCTTATTTCTTTTCCCCTTTGAGGCGAAATATAAAGTGTTTTGATGAGATTTTCCCAGATATCTTTTTGTGTGTTTCATGAAAAAAAAAAAAAAAAAAAAAAAAAAAAAAAAAAAAAAAATTTAATTCTTCTGATTTCCCAATCACATTAGCTCTATTTTCCCATAGTTTCTTTACTTTCCCAGAGGCAAAAAGTCAAAAACAATCGATGTATCTCTTTAACACACCTTCACATCTGCCACCTTCATCCTGGTTCCTTCCTTTCCCACAAATATATCATCGATGTCCACCAGTATGAAGCGCTCGAGGGACAGAGACAGTCTCTTAGCAGTGAGGAAGGACAGCGCGTCCACAAACACCAGCTTGTGTAGCCAGAAGGAGAGGTTGTGTCCAAACAAAACCCTCTGAATCCCGTCATGAAGCCCGAGATCCTGAACCACGGATGTGTGCATGAGTCCAGTGCTCTCGGCCGAACGGGTTTTAGCCAGCAGAACCGGCTCGTAGGTGGAGTGATTGGACTGGAAGACGGTCCAGTTGTCCCCAGGGAGAGGACCGCTAAACACCTGAGACATAAAAAGAAACGCTGTATTTGGGAGTGAAGCTTCTACAGAAGCCCTAAACCACAACGTGAAAAACAAGAGAACAAATCGTAGGACTTGAGCTCATGAAGGCTCAGGTTCGGGGTCAGCCTTTGGCTAAGTTTGAGCGGGTGAGCTGACCTGTTGCGCTCGTGTGACGTGCAGCAGAGGGGATTTGGGGTTGACGGTACAGTCCTTCAGGCCCAGGTTGGAGTGCAGAAACAGAGGGAATCCTTTCAGCTGCGCACTCAACAGACTCTTCTCATTGGCCTGACGGGACAGACAGGAAGTGACGTCTCACAATCTGACACACATGCTGCGCTCCAGCCAGAGTCTGATCCCAGATATTCATACTCAATATCTCACTCCACAAACCATAAAGTTGCACAGCAAGATGCTCAAAAATAAAGTATAAAGAAAATAGCAATGCAATTCAGAAAGAATGCTTTTGCTGGTTAACTGCTTCTGACACGCATCTTTCTCAGTCGACAGACATTTACAAGTGTCTGTGTAGTTTAACTAAATAAAATGAACACATATACATATATATACATAAATAAATAAATAAATAGCAATGAATACATTCATATAAAACACCTACATTTTTATAAATATTTATATATAGATAAATAGCATAAAACAAAATATTATAAAATAATGTGTAAATATAAAAATATTTTAATACAATGATATAATTTAATAAATATTAAATATAATTCTATATGATATAAATATTTAAAATATTGAAAAATATACTTGTAAATGTCAGTCAATGGAGAAAGATGGGTGTCAGAATGCTGGTTGGTTGGTTCTTTATTTATATAAAAATGCAAAAAATACATACAAATATATAACTAACTTAAAAACAAAGGGGAAAAAAAACACATATTGAGATCTACATTTTATTTATATATATATATATATATATATATATATATATATATATATACATACACACTTCCGTTCAAAAGTTTGGGATCAGTAAGACTTGTAATGTTTTATAAAGAAGTCTCTTATGCTCATCAAGGTTGCATTTATTTGATCAAAAACACAGAAAAAAAACAATCTTGCAAAATGTTATTAGAATATAAAATAATGGTTTCTGTTTTAATATCCTTTAAAATATAATTTATTTATGTGATGCAAAGCTGAATTTAGTTAGAGAAGTGTCACATGATCCTTCAGAAGTCATTCTAATATGCTGATTTATTATTAGAATTATCCATGTTGGCAACAGTTGTGCTGCCAATAATTTTTTTGGAAACTGCAATACTTTTTTCAGGATTCTTTGATGAATAAAAAGTTAAGAACAGCATTTATTCTAAATATAACTCTTTGCCATCACTTCTTAATTTAACATCCTTGCTGAATAAAAGTTTTAATTTCTTTCAAAAAAAGAAAGAATAAAAATGTACTGACCCCAAACTTTTGAATGGTAGTGTATATTGTTAGAAAAGATTTCAAATTTAATAAATGCTCTTCATTTTAACTTTTTATTCATCAAAGAATCCTGAAAAAAAAGTATCACAGGTTCCAAAAAAATATTTGGCAGCACAACTGTTGCCAACATTGATAATTCTAATAAATCAGCATAGAATTATTTCTGAAGGATCATGTGACACTGAAGCAGCACTGCGACAAATGATTATTTTGATAGATTAATCTAACGATTATTAGAACGATTAATCGATGATTATTCCACTGATTAATCAGTAGACTTTGATTATTCAGCTTTTGCAATTAGTTAAAATATCAAGTTATACATATTCTAACAAATAAATAAAAGTAATCACTTCAGCTTTTGAAAGTCATATTATGGAATTACAATTATTATACAATTAATATATACAAATACATTTGGCACACAAAATAAGACAGACAGAGAAACTCTTATTCACCATTTAATTAGCTATATGAGAAAGTAGCTGAATGATACATCATTCTGCCAAACAGCCTTTTGTAAGTCATATGGATAAGAAACTAAATAAAGGTTAAGTGATAAGACGTTTTATTTTTGGATAAACTATTTTATTCACAAAATAATCTCTCCTAAAATACCTTATAGGGTTATGATAATCAAAACAGTCTTGAGCTAGATCAAGCTGATCTCTGCAAACCAAACTATAACTTAAATGAAATATTTTTTTCCCACAAAAATTTTTTTTTTATCATTAGCTAGCTCCACACTGGAGAGCTGCTTTATAACAGAAAATCAAGTTGTAATTCTAACTGAAAGCGACACTGACTCTGGTTTTCCATGTTTTAATACTGTAAAGCTGCTTGATTTAAAGTGTTAGTTCACCCAAAAATGAAAATGGGCTTGTGTTTTACTTACCCTCAAAGCATCCTAGGTGTGTATATGACTTTCTTCTTTCTGACAAATCCAGTCGGAGTTATATTAAAAATTGTCCTGGCTATTCCAAGCTCTATCATTGCAGTCAGCGGGTGTTGCAGTTGAACAGTCCACAAGTCGTCAAATAATTGTATTTATTATTCATAATAAAACGTGCTTCACACGGCTCCGGGGGGTGAATAAAGGCCCCCTGTAGCGAATCCATGTGTTTTTTAAAGAAAATATCCATATTTCAAACATAAAAAAAAACACTTTTCTCTCACTTCCGCTGACTATCATACACTGAAGCAGCTCCGGCGGATGATGCAGCACGTATGGGCAGCGCGTATGCTAGTCTCGCGAGTTTGTTTATATGAGCAAAAGAAGCAAAGTTTCCTTACTTTAGCAAAGGAAAACCAGTCTCCTCTTGGCTTATATCGAAATCCTCCGACATTTTTTTTTGCAAATCTTCGGTTTGTACTTCTAATTCATGACCGGCGCTTTGTTTTGTTGTTTCTCCGCATTCGTCACTAATCACGCAACGCCGACGTACTACGACATCCGCCGGCACGGCTTCGGTGTTTGACAGTCAGCGGAAGTGAGAGAAAAGTGTTTATTACATTTGAAATATTAATATTTTTCTTACAAAAACACATGGATTCACTACAGTGGGCCTTTATTCATCCCCCGGAGTCGTCTGCAGCACGTTTTATTATGAATGCACGCGCTTTATTTGACGACTTGTGGACTGTTCAACTGCAACACCCGCTGACTGCAATGATAGAGCTTGAATATAACTCCGACTGGATTCTTCTGAAAGAAGAAAGTCATATACACCTAGGATGCTTCGAGGGTGAGTAAAACGGTCTAATTTTCATTTTTGGGTGAACTAACCCTTTAAGGCTATCTATTGCATAAAGTATATAAATAAACGTGACGTGACTGGACTTTACTGGAGTAAGTTACTGAACTGCAGAATTCGTGCAAACATCCACATCGCTGTAATCAGATGCATTTTTAACTGCTGCTTTCTCACCGCTGTCAGTTCTTGTTGTGTTTATTTCATTATTGAGAGAAAGCGTGCAGCATTTATTTACATATTCATCCAAACGCCGCTCAGCCGCTTCAGGTTCTGCTTAGTGTTGGGTCGTTCTTGAACGATTCGTTCATTTTGAACAAATCTTTAATGTGACTCAGGAGGAACACGTCGTCTCGGGGAGTGATTCGTTCAGTCGCACATGCGCAACATCCTATAGGTTCTGTACTGGAATTAGTCAAGTAGTTCACCTGTTTCGAGTCTTCGGGTTTTTATGAGTCGTTCGTTCATCACGTGACAGCCCCATACGCTTTAACCAATGCAGTCTGAGCCGGAAAGAGACTTAATAATAATAACCAACTCTTTATTACCTTTGTTACAACATTCAGTGTAATGGAAAAGAACCATCATGACAGAAATTCACACATTTATAAACTGTAAGAAGTAAAAAGCTACAATTTAAGACCAGAAATGCATCACGTAACTGTAAGAGTAAATAATAATTATGATAATGATGATAATAATAATAACAACAACTATGCACCCATTTGTAAGGAAGCTTGTAAATGAACTAATTTCTCTAATCAAGGCTGTCACGTCACGTGACAAAAGAACGAACGATTCAAAAGACTCGAGAGATGAACTAATCAATTCTTAATCAGAATGTGCTGCGTGGAAACTGAAAACTGGTTTGACAAAGGTGTAATTTTGGTTTTAGATTTGTTAAAATAGGATGGTAACTTCTATTCCTATTCTGAATTTTCAGAAATCTTTGAAGTGGATACCTCACCTAGAGTGTATGAATGGGTTATTAATTCTATTTCACCTAAACGGTTACATTCGGTTAGGGATTGTTACAGATCTTCAAAATGTGAAATGCCAAAAATTTGTATTGGGAGACATGGAGCTTTCTAATGTTAAATGTAACAATTTCTGGATTAGAAAATTCCTTATTAAGAAGTTTAGTTGTCATCCTAAAGCATTTTATAAGTGGAAAATAAATGACCCTTTTCTTTCTACTATTAAAATATGGGCCGGTATTAACAAGTTTCTGTTACCTAACAAGATGAAAGAATTTTACTATAAGATTCTTCATATGTACTATCCCTGTAATTCTATACTCTCAATTTTAATTGGACATCTCTTCACAATGCACATTCTGTAATTCTAATTTGGAAACAATATCACACTTATTTTTTGAATGAGAGTATGCAAACATGCATGAGTATGCAAGCGACAGCTCTTCTCTTTCGAAGCTACTTGACTTCATCATAAAAAAAAAGATCTCTCTTTACTTATTCTTTATGTATTCCTTTTCTTTCTAGCTTGTACTTATTTGAACAATGTCTAGAAACTTGGTATTACAAGCACTTCCTGTATCTGTTTGCCTCTTTAAGAAGAATCGCTAAATGTATCCCCCAATTGTAAGTCACTTTGGATAAAAGTGTCTGCTAAATGACTAAATGTAAATGTAAATGCAAAGGATTTTGGGAAAGAAATATCTTGGCTTGTTTTCTCAGCTTACAACAAACTTTTTAGTTTTGGGGTAATTAATGCACTTTTTAATTTGGGAATCAGGATCAAAGGAGCTGGATGACATCTTAAAACTGTTAACTCTTTACTACATTGGTTAAAGCGTATGGGGCTGTCACGTGATGAATCACCATCACTAATTCTGTTTGCGCTGAAGCTCTGCGTCTTCTTCTCTTGAATTGCATCAGGAGAGTTGAATTACAGTCTTGCGCTACAGCGCCACACTGGTCAAACCACGTTATTGTAGGCTCTTACATTAGGTCATATGAGATCAAATGACTACTCGACAACAAAAATATGTGTCGACAAATTTTTTTATTGTCGATAATGTTGACTAATCGTTTCAGCCCTACATCGAAGACTGGAGTAATGATGCTGAAAATTCAGCTTTGCATCACAGGGAATATATTAGATTTTAATGTATATTAAAATAGAAAAACGTTATTTTACATCATAATAATATTTTACAATATTACATTTTTTCCATGTATTTTTGATCAAATAAATGCAGCATTGATGAGCATAAGAAACTCCTGTAAAAAACATTAAAAATCGTTCTGATTCTGACCAAACTTTTGAACGGTAGTTTGTGTATATACAGGTGCATCTCAATAAATTAGAATGTCGTGAAAAAGTTAGTTTCTTTCAGTAATTCAACTCAAATTTTGAAACTCGTGTATTAAATAAATTCAATGCACACAGACTGAAGTAGTTTAAGTCTTTGGTTCTTTTAATTGTGATGATTTTGGCTCACATTTAACAAAAACCCACCAATTCACTATCTCAACAAATTAGAATAAGGAAACCTTTGCAGGTGTTTTGAGTTGATTAGCTGATTAGCATTTCACCATATTCTAATTTGTTGAGATAGTGAATTGGTGGGTTTTTGTTAAATGTGAGCCAAAATCATCACAATTAAAAGAACCAAAGACTTAAACTACTTCAGTCTGTGTGCATTTAATTTATTTAATACACGAGTTTCACAATTTGAGTTGAATTACTGAAATAAATGAATTTTTCCACGACATTCTAATTGATTGAGATGCACCTGTGTATATATATATATATATATATATATATATATATATAAAATAAAAAAAATTAAAATGACAAAAATATTAAATGATTTAACTATAAATGAAAATAAATATTAAGAAATAACAATATAAATGAATACACAAATAAATATACATAAAAATGCATAAATACATAAAATACGTAACTAAATAAATAAAACAAAAGGAACAACCAAATTAATATAAACCCACATTTAGATATTAAATTTAAAAACATAACTAAATAAATTTAAATAAAATTACAAAATTTAAATCAATCAATCAATCAAATATAGATGCCTTATATTTGCTCTGCCTGCTGTTTGTAATGTCAAGAACATCTCTAGCTCTAGCTTTGAGACTACTGGACCACTTTCTCCAGGTTTTAAAAACCTCACTGCTTATGGCAGGGCACTGTTCCCAGCAGGAAGTTGGTAATTCAGACTCTGAGCTGATGGAGTGATATAGAGTGGCTCACCTTAAAGAAGCCGATCATTCCCACTCCAAACTCGATACAGTATCTGTCCAGTAACTCTCTGTTCCAGGCGTCCATGTTCACATACTTCAGGATGTTTTCGTAAATGATGAGCACAAAGCGGCCCCGCTGTCCGTCTGTTAACGTGGGCATGTCTCCTTTTCCGGGAGAGATTTCCGTCCGGTAGCGGAACCTCGCCGACTCCAGGATGGCCACGATCTCCTGTCCGAGCTGCGAATACGGACTCTCCACAAACACCAGCACGACCGGATCAGTCCGAGAGCCATCGGACGACAGTGTCCCGCCCACTCCAGACAGGAAGGGGAGGGGCCGAGACGGGGTCACGTAGAGGTCATCGGCCGAGCGTCCTGCTGCAAGCGACGGTTCCAGCTTTCGTTTGATGGCAAACAGGAAGTAGGAAGAGAGGAAGACACTGAGGATGCACAGGAGGAAGAGGAAGATGAAGCTGGTCTGTAGCGGCACCTGGCGAACGAGACGGCGCAGGCGGAGCACACTGAGCATCACACAAACAAATTTTTAAAAAAAAGCTGAAGGAAGGAAAACCGATGGATAAAGTTCAGTCTACATGTTTGGGACGTAAAACGAGTGCAACAGAAATGTCTCTGCGCTTTTATGTGACCATCGCTGAACTGAAGAGAGGAGGCGGAGTTCTGAATGTGACTGGATGTCTCGTCTGTCAGTCATCAGACTGGCTCCCCCCTCTTGCCTACTTTTGATTGGTCGCAAACTGCTGACGAGGGCTGGCTCTGCTGTGATTGAAGGATAATCATCACTACAGTCTCCCAGTGGACACCTGCACACCTGAAAGACATGAATATGAATATTCATTTAAAAAAAAGGAAGGTTTAAAAGGAAGAATCAAAACTGAGGTGAGATATTTTACAAGATATTACTTGAATGATTAATCAAAATAAAATACAAATAAATAAAATATCAAACAAATGCATCCCCACACAGTACAGTTGTGCTGTAAATAAAATGATTATTATTACTTTATAGTGAAAAAAATACAAAAGTAATACTTCTTATTTTCTTTAATAATGATAATCATGTTACTATTTTTTTTCTCCTGAATACATTAATTTCATTTTACAGTGAAATGATACAATACAGTTTGTGCGTTTTAATAATAATATTAAAAATAAATAAATTTTACTTTATTTACAGAGAATTAATTTTTTTATTTAATAATAATATTTTTTTTTAAATACTAATTTTTACAGTGAAACAATGTCACAGTAATATTTATTGTATTCAATAATAATTATAACATCAAAATAATAATATTAAAAATAAATAAATTTCACTTTATTTACAGAGAATTAATTTTTTTATTTAATAATAATAATATATTTTTTTAAATACTAATTTTTACAGTGAAACAATGTCACAGTAATATTTATTGTATTCAATAATAATTATAACATCAACAAAAATAATATAATGCAGTTGTTATTAAAACAATTTTTAAATCTTAACAGTGAACTATTTTATTTTAGTTATATTTCTTTGTTTAATTTGAATAATAATGACATTAATAATATTTTATTCGCAATCACAATTATTATCAGAAAAAAATGCAATTAGATTATAGCACTATCTGTGGTCTGATGTGTATAAATTACACTAAATTAAATAATTTATCAATATTGCAGTGTAAAAAATATTAATGACACCCTTTTGTTTTATAATGACAAACTGATTATCAATAAACCAAACCAGATTTTTTTTTTAATATTTAATTGTTAAAAACTAGTTTCTAATAATCTAGCATAAAAAGCTAACATTATAATTATTATTGTTATTATTAAATAAAGTTTATAAAAGGAAATTGTAATATTGTAATATTTCAATGTAAAATATAAGAATAAAAATAACATTATTATTAAATAAAATATTACAATGTATTTATATTGTAATATTTCACTGTAAAAGTGAACATTATCACATTATATAACATTGTTAAATAAAATATTAAAAAGCTATATTACTATAGTAATATTTCACTGCAAAAAAAGTAGTACTTTTGAAAAAATTATAACCTTATTAAATTATTTATAAAAGAAATTGTAATATTTCACAGTAAAAATATAAGAATAAAAATAACATTATTATTAAATAAAATATTACAATGTATTTATATTGTAATATTTCACTGTAAAAGTGAACATTATCACATTATATAACATTGTTAAATAAAATATTAAAAAGCTATATTACTATAGTAATATTTCACTGCAAAAAAAGTAGTACTTTTGAAAAAATTATAACCTTATTAAATTATTTATAAAAGAAATTGTAATATTTCACAGTAAAAATATAAGAATAAAAATAACTATTATTATAAATATATTATAATATATATATAATTATAAAATATGATATTACACATATATATTATTTTTTTTATTTTTTTATTTTTTTATTGTAATATTTCACTGTACGAAAGTAATGTATAAAAAAATTACACTATGATTATTATTATAATGAAATTTGATATATTGTATATTTATCATTACTTATGTTTTTCTTTCCTCAGGAAAAAATAAATTAAAATAAAAAAAAATGTAGATAGGGAAGCTTCAGAAATTTGGTTGAATGGACATGACCCATTTAATAATCTTAAAGACAATTTAATAAATGTACTTATTCATTAATAAATTTATTAAAGTTGCATCTTTTAACATTAGTTTATGGACCCAAACTGCCAATGTTAATAAAATTACTAAATACTGTAACAAATGTTTAGTTAATTTATTAACTATTGTAAATCGTTACCAAAAAATATTTTGAATTGGATTTTCTTTTTAGTTTTCTTTTCTTTTTATTCATTTTTATTCCACTTTTAGTTTAGTACTTAAGTTAAACTGAATGAAAATGAGAAATGTTGCTCTGGAAACTTGCTACATAGTTTATTTTATTTCATTTCAGATAGCATTTATATTAAGTAACAAAAATGTTCATATATATATATATATATATATATATATATATATATATATATATGTGTGTGTGTGTGTGTGTGTGTGTGTGTGTGTGTGTGTGTGTGTGTGTGTGTGTGTTGGGGAGTAGCAAGTTACATGTAATGGAATTACATAATTTAATTACAAAATAAATGTAACTTTAATTTGTTACAGTTACTGAGAAAAAATTGTGTAATTAAATTACAGTTATGAAATTTTTACTGATTACAAAGAGGGTTACATCAGAATATTTTCACACACATACAGATTTGATTGACTGCTCTAAAATATGAGACACCAATGTTTCAGGAGACAGATAGGACTGTGTCCTATTTAGGACACAGAATAGGAAACATGCTTTTTCGATAACGGTTTTATTTCCTATTTGGTTTTATGTATATGCTTTATTTATTTATTTATTTTTTAAGAGTAACTGTTTTTTTTCCAAAGCATTGTTAGAAGCCAGTGTTTCCCGTCATAGCTATGCAAAAACAGTATCATAGCTATTAAACTATTTCTTATGATTTTAAATCTGTATTTAGAACGATCTCAAAGTAAAAAGAGCTGCTATAATCTGATTTTGTGGTGGCTGCACTTTAAAATTAAATTATTATAACCTTCATCACTTAATTCAAGTGATGAAGGATTCTGAAAGTCTGACAGTAATCAGTGTTGAGCACTACTGTAAGGTTAACCCTGCCTGGTTTAAATGTTTCAAAATGATTAACAGTTGAAAACATTCGTTAGAAATTTAGAAAAGTAATCAAATGTAATCAGTTACATTACTTTAATAAAGTAATTGAAATAGTTACACTACTTATTACATTTTAAATAGGGTAACTTGTAAACTGTAACCTTGCTCTTCCAAAGTAATCTTCCCAACACTTTATATATAGTAGTGCAGTCGAAATTAACGCTTTAACGCATGCGATTAATTTTTTCAGTTTAACTCGTTAAAAATATTTCGCGCAATTAACGCAGGGGCGGAGCTAGGGTTAGTCAACCCACTCACAACTGCTGCTTCTGTCTTTTTTCTTAACAAGAATTGCATTTATTTAGACACAGAACAACTTTGACCACATCAAACTGGAGACTTTTCAGCCTCAAACGAGTCAAACGAGGGAGTAAGGTACAGGTGACGAGGAGCTTCAGTAGAACAGAGAACTGCGTTCAGATGAGACGTTGTCAGGCCGTATGTCAGTAAAAACCGAATTTTCCTTTCCTCTCAGCTGTTGTACTGTGCTCGTAGCACCAGCTCTTCATGTGGCAGCGTGTGCTGTGCATTTCATATTAAAGTGCAAAAGAAACTATGAGCATGCAATGTCGTAGTTATGTCATCAGTTAAGTCATGAAGTTACCAAAAAGGCAATTAAAGCTGCCTTAAAACTGTGCATGTAAGTATTTAGTCTGGCGTAACCAGACCTTCAGACTGACGGCAGAAGGTCTGGGAACCTTGGCTGCTTTGAATGGCCAAGGACCACACAAGCGGACATATGACTGACAGGTAAAGCAACCAATCACGTTTCGTTTTGTGCCGCAAAACTGTCCTGGAGCAGCCCAGCACTGTCTCCCTCATCTAACATGCCCGATTCAACTTGTCAGCTCTTTAGTAGAGACTTTAAGACCTGAAGTGGGTCAGAAAAAGAGTTGTGAGAAAATACGATCTGTGTCAGATCCGCGTCATGTTCAGTAGCGGCAGCTCTTAAAGTAATAGCAGTCAAAATAACCTAATAGCCCAGATGCTGTGATTTCTGTAAATCAAAGAACAAAATAGGAAATCAATAACTTTTGTAGCTTTAAGGATTCATCTATATTTAAATTAGAATTTAGTGTTTGATAACTTTATTCAATTTCTATTTCCTACTTGCTGAGGGACACATGTAGCTAAATATGACATTTATTATAATTGGTTTATCTGAAAATTAGAAGTTATTTTTAGTCTAATAAATGTTCAAATTGATAGCTCTCAATTACACTAATGTTGAATGGCTATAGTCAATGGTTAAATATTAGGAAAAAAACATGTATCAGTGATACTTGCCTTCAGTCATAAAAAGATGCCATTAAACCAATATTGAAAAATAATATACTGTATGTGGTTTCTACATTAATTCAAAGATTGAATGTGAAATTATTGCAATATAAAAGTATATTTAAAAACTTTAATGTTAGGTGTGATTAATAATTTCACGAACAAATGTGTGATTATTAAAAAATGTAATCGATTGACAGTACTATTATATAGTTTTAGTTAACCATAACCCTGCATCTGCCACAATTAACTGATTAGGAAAAGTGTCCATTAGGTTTCGACTCCTTTTGCATCGGTGCGTTTTCGGTTAAGCACTGTAACCAATTACAGACATGTTTGTGTGGACAACAATTACATTTAAAAAAAATTAAATAAGCATTTTAAAGTAAATTAAATAGGTAAATTATGATTTTTGTCAGCCCTACTGCACATACAGACAGACAAGGAAAAAGAACGAGCACAGAAGTTGTTTGGTGACACTCAGGAGGGGGTTTGTTCTCATTTTGAAGCTCTTGCATGTGTTGAAATCGCAGAACGTCCCCACTGGGTCTTTGATGCGAGTGTGTAAGTGTTTGAGGACAGAAACGGCCCTGGAGAAGCATTGTTGGAGCCACTGGCAGGAGAATGTGTTTGATATATGAGTGTAGCAACAAAAGCAGTGCTGGGACTCTGGAATGGTTCGGCCCATTGTGAAAGGGGCCAGCTGAACCCTCGGGGTCACAGCGAATCCTCACGCAGCCCTGCAATGACACCAATAAACCACGCTCTGTAGCAACTGCTCACTCTTCATGGAAACGCTGTAGGAAGACT